AAAAGAACGCATAGATTCTCCTATAATACCGATATAATAGTAACACAAAAAAAAAAAAAGAAAATCAATCAATCAATCATTTAATCAACCAATTAATCAATGAATCTAAAAGAAGGAGAAAACCTTGACTTGGGATGAGGTATTTGAGGATGACCCATACAATACAATACACATACTGATATCACACAAATCATTAATATCTAAGTAGTTTTGAAGAATTCTTTTGGAAGTGCTTCAGATTGATTAGGATCAACACGTCCCAGGAATAGAGTTACTGCATTCTGGCTAATCGTCCTCAAAATTTTCAATGATTCCGGTAAATGTTCATAACGTAAATGAGCTTCATGACCATACATTGATTCCATATAACTGGAAAAGTTAAAATAAGTTCATAATTTAAATAATTAAATAGATTAATAATTGTTAAAAAAGTTGATAAATTCATTATTTTAAGTTCAAAGTTCACAGTGTTCAATTTCGATACAAAAAAATCTTTGCTAATATAACAGTTAACTCTCATTTTGAAACTATTTCAATTTCCTCACTTAAATGTTGCAATTCGTTAAATAGTATCGAAAATATAGCGAAACACCATAGTAGATATTTCCAGAAGTCTTAAGCAAACTTATCAAAACACATCACTCTTTCCGGTACTTTTCACAACTAAACTAGATGAACCGACTTATCAATGACTGAATAACTAAGTAATCCGAAACGGTTTGAATGACCAGATATTGACATTTAGCATAAATTCCAGAATGGTAAAAAATTTTGAAGTAAGGAAAGATGATTGATTAATCGTAATAATAATTATCATTAATACATTATATTCCTATCATTTAAAAAGATTCCAAATAATAGTAGTACAAAAAAAAAACAATATGTACATACCGATGCAAAAGAGCTTGATATTCTTGACAATGCCTGACAACAGTAATACGATCAGTCGGATCCAGTAACGCATCACGATTTGGATCAAATAACAGAATGAGAACAATTAAATCAATAGCAAGCTCATTATTTCGAAGATCCGGATGTAACGATTCACAAAATCTAAATGATATAATATTTTTCAAATTTTTCAAACAATTCTTTAACATTTTATCAATAATTATTAACAAAAACTTTTATTATCATATATTTAAGAGGATAATTATAGTAAATTACTTCTTTATAACATGCTAAATGAAATAAAACATACTTTAAAAATCCGTCTTTTTGTCGATCACGAAGACCTTCCTTTAATTGATCAAACATTTCCAATGATATCTTACTTTCTTCAGGAACAACTGGTGTCCGCCAACATTTCCGATCCATATCAAAACGTGTTACACCACGCATCGTCAACATTTCTACCATTCCACCTAAAATAGGATGAATAATATTTATCAATAGGTGATAAGTTTTAAATCTATGACAACCTTAATTTAAAAAAAAAAAATCATTGAGGAATGAATGAAATATTGCTACATCAAAATCTGCAAAAAAAAAAAGACATAAATCTCTTGTGGTTTTTAATAAAGCCTAATTTATATCAGACTGAACTTCTTATCATTTCTCATCAACATAACATTTTCTTAGGAAAGCAATATATGCAGTAGGAGAAAGTTTTTAACAAATCTTTTCTTTCTGCTTTTGTTAGTTTGCAAAATCAGATTTATAATTTCGATTTAAATTTAAGGCTATTTCGGTTTATAGCTACTTAGGTTTATGGTTATTTAATTTAGTTTACGATTATTTTCCGTCTGTTAATGATTACTAGCAAACTTGCAATGGAATTCATAAAGTTTGGAAGTTAGTTATTAGTTTATCATTTTCCCGATTGAAATCACTTATAATTTTATGTCTTATAAAATTATCCATGGTAAAACCGAATTACTAGATACTATAAAAGTTGGTAATAATATACCTTTTAGCAGTGCAAATTTTCCATCTTGTGATAGATCATTGAATGCTGGTAACTTCTTAGCCATTTTAACCAATCTTCGCATTGTGATATCAATGATATTAAGGATATCAGTGGGATCATGAGCAGTCTTCTTCAAATATGCCGCTTTTCGTGGATCTTCAATTGGTTCATTCATACAAGCAAATGCATCTCGAACCTATAAAAATAAAATCATTCATAATAAATGCTTTCAACCTATCAAATTCTTCAAAACATTTCAACCAATAATTTCTTTAATATCATATCAAGAAGTAGTTTAGGTCAAAGGTTGAAGATGACAATATAACGTAACAATTCCTTTAATATCATATCAAGAAATAGTTTAGGTTAAAGGTTGAAGATAACAAGATAACATGTCAGTTGCATTTAGTTAGAAAATTTCATAAATAAAATATATCAAAGAAAACACTAACAATATCCAATGCGCGAAGTTCGGCTGAATTAAGTTGGTAATTAAGTCGAGAATCACCTTCATGATAAATTGTTTGCTGGAAAAAGAAGTGATAAATTAGACAATCATCTTCATTCATACGATTTTAGCATATTAAAAGAAGAAAATGATTTTGAAGTATGATTTTAAAACTAACTAATTAATTTATGAACTTGAAATTAGATAAGAAATATAAACTCTTTTAATTAATAGATGGATTAAAGAATTAACTAAAATATCTTCTAAAGTAAAAGCTAATATTAGTCTAATCTAATGCATAAAAAACTGAACGTTACCAAAAAGCCCGTTAATATTAATAGCATGTTGCATTAAATTTTCTGTCAAAATAAAACGACAACTTTTGAAAATGATAATTTAAAAAATGGTTTAGAAGAAGGAAAAAAAAAGACTTCAATCTTTAAAGGAACGTAAAAACGAGCTTTCAAAGTTTCACGTTCAGTGCACAATTTTGATGAATCATTATTCAGCTCATCGTGTATCGTATCGTGCATATATTTTACTTTTTTATCCATATCCGGTGTTAATTTATATGTTGCTCGTGGTAAATTAGCTGATGCTGCATTCAATTCTGTATAATCTGTGATCGCTGAAATTTTATTAATTTTAATTTGATAATTTTGAAAGGTTACTAATTTTAAATATTAAAATTTTTTAATGAATAAAAATTTTTATTTACATTTACGTATTTCCATTTACGTTTACATATTTTCGTTTACATTTACGTTTATATATTTCCGTTTACGTTTACGTTTACGTATTTCCATTTATGCTTACATATATTTCCATTTACATTTACGTCTACGTATTTCTGTTTATGTTTATGTTCACGTTTACGTTTACATATTATATTGATCTGTTAAGAACGAAAAAAAAAGAAAAAACTACATATTACATGTTAAAATTGCATTCCTATAGAGTCAAAAGCATATATCAAATACTATAAATAAAGTATTTTTACTTTGTATTTTTTTACATAAATCCATTTCCATTTCCGTTCGCTGTCTACGTTTATCATTTAATTTTACATTTACTTTAACATATTTCCATTTACATTTTACCTGTTATTATATTGATATGTTAAGAATAAAAAAATTACATATTACAGTTAAAATTACATCCTTAATTTGTCAAAAATCATATAATCAAACACTCTATATAGATATGATAAAATTATCAATCAATATATGTTTATCAGAAATATATACAAAAAAAAAAAAAAATAGATAAAGAATCAACTAACGTGTGCATTGAATTAATGATGGTCGTATGATACCATGACTATTTCCAATGTTCATTGATGTTTCATGCTCAATTGGTGAATAAATATTACGTTTGATATCATCCAATGTATTGGAAATAGATTGAGAAGAACATGGATCAGAGCTTGATGATGGAACCGGTGGTACCATAGCACCACCTGCTTTAGCTGCTTTTACCAATGCTTGATATTCATCCATTGACATTGTTACATGTGGTTCTGGACCTAATATTAATTTCATTTACTAATTAATCTTTATTTTTGAACAAAATTTCTAAAAGACAACAAATAAGAATTTCTCCTGACTTTGGTTCCATTAATTTTTCTTTTTCTTGAAATGATTTGTATCAATTTCAAATTTAAATTTCAATTATACCTTTTATGATCATATAATTCGATGCTTTTTTTGAACTGAATTTTGAGAAATTATTAAATGAACCTTTTGGTGAGAAAGCATCATTAGCCCGAGCTAATGATGATAATGTTGAATTTGGTGGTAACATTCCTGTACCACAACCATTTCGTCGTAAATTTGCATATGCTGCACCAGCAGCTACAGCTGCTTGTTGTCGTTGTAAACGCATCAAATTTGATTCGTACTGAAATCATTTATCAAATTTCTCTATAAAAATCAACATGAAACAATTCTTTTTTTTAAAAATCCCTTACCAATTCCAATTATTAAAAAAGAGAAATGATATGCAGTAAAAAAATGAATGGAAATGAGTTAAATTTGCAAATTAAATATGTAGGAAGTGGATAGATTTAAAAGGAAAAGGATGTGGAAGTAATCAAGGTGATCAATTTGATTACTAATTAATTCAGTAATCAAATAAATAATCAAGCAAGTAATTAAGTCTAAAACTAGTACCTGAGATAGAAAACAAAAAGATATAAAGTGAGGAATATGTAAATGAGCTAACTCACTCATAACCTTTATCGATTATCAAAGAGCTTTTTTTTTCGTTCTTCTCTCGTCATCTTTTAAAATTTTAAGTTTTTTTTTTCTTTTTTAAGAGTGTGTAGAATAGGGAGAAAGAATGAGAGAAGTAAAAAGTAAACAAAATAGATGCTTTTGGATAAACAAAAGTAGGCGCTTTTAACCATAGTGAAATATATGGTATTAAAGAAATTTCATAAGTAAATGCTAATATTGAAGGAAAAAACATACAGCATCGCTGCTTGTATCCAGTTGAGGTAGACCAATTAGAGCACTATGTGTAGGTGAATCAGGTGATGAGGAAGATAGCACTGAGGGTGAAACTGTTGAATTAGTAGGACTTAGCATCTGAAACAAAGTTATTATAAATTAGCAAAAAAAAAATGCTTATTGAAATTCTTTAATTTATTTATAATATACATGATAATATAACGATACTAAATTTGAAATGTAATTAACCTATTTAAGCCTGGAAATAATCATATTCAGTTTTTGGTATAAAATGATATGAACATTTCATTTTGACTTATACAAACGAAAGCATCAGATAAACTGTTAAAATGTAACGCGGATGTCCGAAAACTAGTTTTTTAATAGACTAATAATAACTGATAAAAGATGGAAAAAAAAAAAAAAAAAATGACAAATCAGCAAACCGTATGAACAACAGATGGATTAACAAGGGTCGAATCTGATTCCCTGCGATGGATCATCTGAGCTGTACTAAACATAGCTGCTGAAAATACTTTTTCAATTATTATGTATTTTTTAAAATATCATCAATATATAATCGATGAAGTTTTCAAATAATTAAATAATTAAATATACCCAGATCAATTTCACTTAATTTTACATGGAAAGGTCATTTTGAAAAACATACGGAAAGGTTACTTAGAAAAAGATAATTGCTATAATTAGCATAACGTTGTATAAAATTACAAAAAGAATTTTTATAAGATATCATGTTAAAAAAGGAAAAAAAAGAAACTATAAAAAGCAAAAAATAATAGATCAAAATCTTTATCTTATAGATATATTAAATATTATACAATTAATTTCTGGATATTCCCAAATAATTCAATAAACTTTCTGTTATTTTTTTCTTCATATAAATTTTATCAAAAAGAAAAATCTTTACTAATTTATCCATTTTATCAATATAATATGGATGAATTCAAAATTCAGATTTTAAAATATTAGATGATAAGAATCTTATTACAAGTACAATGATTGATAAATAAAAATGGTGTGAGGTATGCGTACGTGATGTACTCGATGATGAAGTAGTATTAGTTGGTTGATTCGAGGTAGCAATACTCATTGGTGTTGATAATTTTCTTGTATTTGTGATAGCATTTGTTGTACCACTATTATTTGTATTTGTATTACGATTTTGTTGTTGTTGCATATGATTTAAACGTGAATTCTTCCGCCTTCTTAATTGTTCTTCATTTAAAATCCATTCTTTTTTCATACCAACCTATAAAATGAATAATTAATAAATTAATAAATTGAAGAGAAAAAAAATGATTTTATCAATAATTTTTAGAATATTATAACTCTGTATGTTAATTTATCATAAAATTATCTTTTCAGTAATTTAATGTTTTAATGTAATGAACCGAAAAAAATTTCATCAATAATTTTTTAAAGAATTCAAATTATTTCAGAAATAAATATAATTACGGACAAAAATTTATCATAATACTATCTTTTCAATAATTTTGTATTTTTTTATGCTAGAAATAATTATTCCGTAATGTTGTCAAGCTTCAAGTAAGATTATTTTTTTTTTTTTTTTGAAAGAATTCATTGTAATAAATCATTACAGCAAAACATTTCCGTAGCCGGCATTTCTGGCAAAATCGTCGGCTTACCGAATTGATATCACAGTCATCCGAATAAGGACATTTAAATTCCTGAAATGATAAACGAATAATTAATTTCAACGATCATTAAGTTTACTATCAAATGATTATCTAGCAATATCAGTAATTTAATAATTCGATTCGTGCAAATAAACGAATTCAAGATCAACTGTGAGATGTAAGTGATAAAAATTTAACCTTAGGTCTTAGAGCATTCCTTCTGAAGAAAGCTTTACATGATTCGCATGTGATAACATTAAAATTATAACCCGTTGCATGATCACCACATACGCGACACGTTTTTTGACGACGTCGAGCTTCCTAAAAATTATCAAATTGAAATTAGGAAATGATAATTGCACAATTTCAAATAGTCTTATTTGGAAATACATTTCAAACAATTATCAAACTTCTTATTGATAAATGCTAGCTAACGTGTTTCCTTAGGATTTTATTGTGTTGTTGCAATTTTTCCATGAACATATATGAAAATTAATAATAACATATCATTATTAAATTGACAAAAAAAGAAGAAAGAAAAAGACATTACCACCAAATGATAATATCAGGTTGCAGTAATATAAATTTTAATCAATATTTAAATTTTATCAAACTCAATTTAAATTTAAATTTTAACTTAAATTTTTTTTCTAAATTTTGAACAATTTCTTCATTAAATTTTAATTAATCCAATCTGTTACATTGTGAAAGTTTTTAGTGTAACAATTTTAAAATTTATAAAATTTATAAAGATAAAGTTTTAATATTAACAATAACTAATTGCTTAAAAGACAAACATCAGCGCCAGTTTCAATATTTGGTGAACAGCATCCACTAGATGAAGCACTTTGACGTACAGTACCAGTATTCATTGTTAAATCATCCATCATATTTAAACCTACACCAGACAATCCACCTGCAAATAAATTAGCATCTTTTTACAGTTAAATTAAATTAATTCATCTAATGAAATGATGTTAAAAAAAAAAGAAAGAAAAAATTAAATTTTACAAAATACACTATCTTTTTTACATGTAAACAACTGTTAAAAATTATACAATTTATTTACAATTTTTGAAATAGAGAAATTAGAGTTAAAAAATTAAGTTTTGAAATTTATTAATATATCGGGGAGTTTTTTTTTTTTTTTTAATCATAACTTTATCAAAACTAAGCTGATAATAATTATAATGCTTAGAATATCAGCCATATGGATATGTATTATTGTGGGAAATGTTCAGTGAAGAGATGCAAATATGAATAAATTATTTTACTCGAATGATTCTTAAAAAGATCTATTTAAGATAAATTTAAACAAGGAATATTTGCAAAAAATTTAGCAACCAGAAAAAAGGAAGCAATAATTTGAAGGATATTAATTAAGGCGATAATTGTTATAGCATTAATTGCAATAGAATTAAGGAATGAATCTAAGGAATTGAATTGATCTGAAGAATGAATCTAAAAAAGCATATACAGCTAGAAAAAAAAAAAAAAGGAAAAACTGAAGTTTGGTAATTTGATATACCCTTCAATAATCGCAAAAGATTGCCTGCAGCAACTGCCGGCAATGAACCCGGAGCTACCGTTACTGTAATACCGGAACCACCATTACATCGTACTGCTGCATTAGCTGCTGTTACCGTTGTTGCTGGTCCACCAACTAGTGTACCACTACCAGTACCTGTACCCGTACCTGTCGTTACTGTATTTTCACCCGATAAAATTTCTGTACCAGAATTAGAAATAACTGCTCCTGCTGTAGCTGCTACTGTTGGTGTTATTGTTGTTGGTCCATTATGCATCGATCCCGGACTATGAATTACCGGATCATCTGGTGTATTCATTTGCTGCTGAAAAATTATTATCAAATGATAAATAGAAGAAACATTCGTTTTTTTTTCTTTTTCTTTTCTCTCTCTCTCTCTCTCT